AAGAGAGGTCTGAGCACCATGTGGGACCCTCGCCCGGCAGCCGGGGATCGAACCGGCACTGCAGAGGCTGTGGTCAGCTTCACAGCCCAGCACTCAACCGCTGCGCCACCAGGGGAGGCCCCTTTTCCTTTTTTAATTTAAAGTAAAAACAATACCCTAAGAATGTTTGAATGTTAATATGTATTTTTCATTCAGCTATTTGTTTCCATTGAATGTAATTTTTGTTCTAAAAGAACATGTATTATACATATCTAATAGCAGGGTTAAAAAAACATTATGTGGTGGTCTCTGTACATCGATATTATATAATCAGTATACTAATACATACTGATAAAAATACTTGCCTGTGAATATATTTGTATTAATGTGAGAAGCATAAAAGAAAGCCTTTGTTTTTACTGTGGAGCCTGCTAATCTGACTGCTTATCTAATACATGTGATCCCAGATCACAATATGAAACTATTTTATTATAATATTAAATTTTCATACCATAGTGAAATAATGTGTGATGAAAGTCCTGTATTTCTAACAAAAATTATATTTATTTCAAAGCACCAACTATAATCCTGAATGATGGTGAGAGAAGACTCTGATACTGTGAAGCAGTGTTCATTCTGGGCAGTAGCTTATTCATTCTCTGAATAGAATTTAAATCCAAGTCTCTGTGTAACCATTAGTCATATCACCCGTTGTGTGCCTTTCTGAGTGTGTTGTTTAAACTGTCACGGTTTGCTGCTCAGTTGACTTTGCAACTTTTTTTTTCAATTTTTTAAACTTACAATTTTTTTCTGAATTTGTTACTCATTAGCATGTCACTATAACTTTGAGGTTACATTTTCACTCCTCCATATGTGCACATGCTTCACTCACCCTCCACCAAACCTCACGTTCTTCTCCTTTATCTTACTGCCTCCCCCTGTTCCCTCTAGTAACCAGTAAATTTTTCACTATGATTTTTTTTGCTGTAATTTGCCAGTGTCTATTTTTTGTTATTTATATTCCAAAGATAAGTGAAACCATCCAATATCTTCTCTTTCATTTTCTGAATTATTTCATCTGACATAATCATGTAAAAGTCCATCATTTTTTCTCGAAATAATAGCTGAGTAGTAGTCCATTGAGTATATATTTCACAATTTCTTTATCTAGTCATCTGGTGATGGGTTCTATGGTTGGTTCCATGATTTGGCAATTGTGGTACTTATATGAACACAGAAGTGTATAGTTTATTAGTGTTTTCATATTCTTTGGGTAAATACCTGGCACAGGTATTGCTGGATCATGTAGAATTTCCATTTTCATTTTCTTAAGGAATCTCCATATCATTTTCTATAGAGATTACACCAATAGTGCATTTCCCATTAATAGTGGATGAGAGCGCCAATTTCAAATGACTTTTAAACTTCATCGGCTGTCATCAACTCTCAGCAGTCCGTTCACTGCGTTAGTTTAAATAACTAAGAGTGAGGATCTTATCCAACATACTTTTCTGCTCTAACATACTTTTCTACTTTTTACTTGATAGCCCTTAGAATTCTGATTAACTTCAATTGGCTGCCAGTTTTCATTCTTCCTATTTCAGCTGTTGCTAGGGGAAGAGCAAATCCTCTGGGCTTTGCAGATTTCTGTAGAGAAAAGGCAGTTAGGGGTCAGGCGATGGTCTTCCCTAGTATGTCTTCACTTTAAAATTATATCAATTGAAATTGCAAAGAGTTGGAAATTTGGAAGAGTGGCATGGATGTCCTGTGGCTAGTAGGAGGAGATTGGGAAAAACAGGAAATAAAGTCAGAGAGGTAGGTTGGGTTATATTATGTTAGAGTCTTGGCAGGGCATGGTATAGAGTTTGAATCTTATATATGGGTATATACATGTATATAAAAATACATATTTCAGATAAATATCCATACATGTATTCAAATATGTTTACAAATATATATGGAAAGAATCTGAATGGTTATATACCAAATTATTGTGTTTCTCTGGGAACAGAGGTAAAACTGGGATTTAAGGTTGTGATCCTACTTTATATGCAAATATTTTATAAAGGGGGATGTAGTCATGTGCTATTTATGGAATCCAGAATTAATTAAAAGTGGTAGAGCAGTGAGCGAGCAGGCAGCCCCAAACTAATGCAGCTCTTCTGAGTCCTAGGACCCAAGTAACATAATTGGAAAACTGCAGATTCCTTTTGAAGTTTCTTAGCATGATGTTCCTAAACACTAAACTTTCACTGCAATGTGATAAAGTAAAAGTAGAGAGTAGAATGTGAGGGAAGGGCTCTTAATAGAGGACATTATTAATAAAGCAAGCAATGTTTTATTTTTACTAGAATTTATAAGATTTCATATGATTTTGAAGTATATATAATCTGGGTAAACATGATAAATTGACTGTGTCCCAATAGAACACTTGGAACATATTTGATACTTGCCTGTACAGAGAGAATCAAACATTGTAGATTTAATTTATAAATGTTGACCACCCAAGATGTAGGTAGTAACTGAATAATTCTATTCATTTCCATGTTTATGTCCATTGCCTTTTTCAAATTTCAACTTGGCAGTTTAGTATATAAAATTTATAAGAAATTGCATGTGTTTTTTAGTATTGTCTTAAAAGGTTTTAAAAAATTGTAATAGCTTTTATTTTTTAAAAATATTTAGTTATATTTACGTATACAAGAGCTGGGATATAGCCAGAAATGTGGGGGGTGGTGAGAGGATTCACCGGAGACAGAGTGGAGAGCAGAACAGGCAGGTCAGCTGGAATAGACTGCTGAGGGCCGTAGGGGGCAAGATAGGAGAGGTCTGCTGAGCTAGTGCTGAGACTTAACTCCTTCGCCACTAGGTCCTGTAATAGCTTTTATTTATTTATTTATTTTTTTTTAATAGAGGCATGTTTCATTTATTTATTTATTTATTTGTTCGATTGTTTTGTTTATACATGCACTGGGTACAGTCAGAAGCACGGGAGGCGGTGGCGCAGCGGTTGAGCGCTGGGTTGCGAAGCTGCCCGCGGCCTCTGCGGCGCCGGTTCGATCCCCGGCTGTTCCCCGGCCACCGGAGGAGGATCCCACATGGTGCGCAGACCTCTTCTGCCGCCCGCTGCTCCCCTCAGCAGTGTACTTCAGTCCTTCTGCCTGCTCTGCTCCCCACTCTGGCTCTGGTGAATTCTCTCACCCTCCCGCGCTTCTGACTGTACCCAGTGCATGTATAAACAAAACAAACAAACAAATATAATAAATAAATAAATAAGTAAATAAAACATGCCTCTATAAAAAAAAAAAAAAAAAAAAAACAGAAGCACGGGAGGGTGAGAGAATTCACCAGAGCCAGAGTAGGGAGCAGAGCAGGCAGAAGGACCGAAGTACACTGCTGAGGGGAGCAGCGGGCGGCAGGAGAGGTCCGCGCACCATGTGGGACCCTCCTCCGGTGGCCAGGGAGCAGCCGGGAATTGAACCGGCACCGCAGAGGCCACTGGCAGCCTCGCAACCCAGCGCTCAACCGCTGCGCCACCGGGGAGGCCCCTGTAATAGCTTTTAAATGCCTGAACTGAATATAAAAACACTTAAAAGAGCTAAAGAAACTGTGACGAAAAAATTGGAAGACTCATAGAAAAGTGGCCCTTTCTATTTAGCTCACCCTTTTTGAACTCTTACTGTCTGCCTTCTTCCAAATACTTTACATGTTTTAACTCCTTTCACTCTCTGATGTCAAAGATAGAGTACAAACATTTAAAAGGATTAAGAACATGAAGAACTAAGATAATCTACTAGAAGTTCTTAAAAATGTGGCACAAATATAGGAAACATATGGTATGACACTGTTATAAACGTGAATGTTTTACCATCACATGTATTCTTCTCATATATTCGTGTAACTGCTCATTCAAAAGTGACTGTTGGGCCTCCCCTGTGGCGCAGCAGGTTGAGCACAGCGCTGTGAAGCTATCTGCAGCCTCTACAGCGTGGGTTCGATTCCCAGTCGGCCGGGGAGATTCCTACATGGTGCGACAGACCTCTCCTGTCTCGCCCGCTGCTCCCCTCAGCAGTGCTTTCAGGCCATCTGCCTGTTCTGCTCCCCACTCTGTCTCTGGTGAATCCTCTCACCCGCCTGCGCCTGTGGTCTGTACCCCAGCTATCATATAAATAAAGAATAAATCTTAAAAAAAAAAGTGTTAAGTTTGCCCCTTTTGGATACGTTAGGGATAGACTTTCAGCCAAATCTTTTTTTTTTTTAAAATAAAATTCATGCTCAGTTACCATTTTTTTAAAAAGATTTATTTATGCATATAAGAACTGGGGTACAGGCCAGAGATGTGGGGGGGAGGGGGTCGTGAGAGGATTCACTAGAGACAGAGCAGGGAACAGAACAAGCAGAATGAGTGAAATACACTGCTGAGGGGAGCAGCGGGCAAGACAGGAGAGGTCTGCTGTGCCATGTGGGCAGCTCCCTGGCTGGGGATTGAACTTGTACTGCAGTGGCTGTGGCTACCTTCATAGTTGCATCTCAACCCTTGCGCCACCAGGGAGGCCCTCAGTTACCAATTTTTAAGAGTTATGTAGTTGGTCTAATTAAATGTTGTATCTGAGAAAATATTTGAGAAACATGTGAATTAATGTTCATACTCTATTTAAATCTATTGAAATTTACTAGAATAATTTGTACACTTTTAATGATTGGCTCTCCTAACAATACTTCATGGTTCTGGGAAAAGCCAATAACCTGTAATACTTCATCTAATTTGAAATGATAGGGAATCTGGAAAAGAACATGCAGCATACCACAGAATAATGACTGAAAACATGGTAGCTAAAATAAATCTATCTGATATTGGGGGTGTCCAGTTGGGTGGCACAGGGTTTCTCTCCTTTCTATTTCCTGAAATAAATTCCTATGGCATATAATGATAATTTACTTGATTTATAACATTGTTGATTATATGAATTTGTTTCTATTCTTATAGCATGTTAAAACAATCTTTTGTCTTATTTCTCCAGGGAGTTGGTCTCTCAGTTCATGGTCAATTCCGAGTGGCTACTGAAAAGTCTCTTTTTGCAATGCCAGAGACAGCAATAGGTAAAAAACAAACAAACAAAAAAAAATTGCAGTTACTTTTAGAATCATCTTATTTTGATACATTTTAGATATACTGTTGTTGAAGAAATTGATGAAATCTTGTGTGAGATACAGTAATGAAAAAAGAAATGGATTAAGAAGATATCTAAAAGTTTATAGTTCTATAATCGTATCCAAAAACACCAAAAGCAAGAGTACTTAACTGGAGACACTAACAATTAATTTAATTTTAGATAAAGGACCTTAAAAGGAAAATAATCATACATTTAAATCTGTGACCCACCTTGCATTTTATGTATAATGTGATGTATGGATCAAAGGTATATGTGCTATAAGTTATGGCTATTTACAGTAACACACCACTAAGTCCTTCCACTCTAGGAACTTTTTGTAAATTAGAATTAGAAAGAATGTGAATGCTTTTGTATTTATTTCAACTTATTAAATGAAGCAATCTTAAGATAAATATAGGGATCATAAACGTAGAGCATCACAGTTGTTTAAGGAGCTCTTAAACACCAAAAAGTAGTCTGCTGGCAAGTATTTGCATATATGCTCTTTCATTTGTTATCAGTTGGGAGAATAAGGAATTTTTTTTAAAGATTTATTTATGCATACAAAAGCTGGGGTACAGGCCAGAGATGTGGGGGGTGAGAGGATTCACCAGAGACAGTGGGGAACAGAACAGGCAGATTGACTGAAATACGCTGCGGAGGGGAGCAGTGGGCGAGTCAGGAGAGGTCTGCTGCGCCATGTGGGTTGCTCTTTGGCTGGCCGGGGATCGAACTCATGCTGCAGAGACTGCGGATTGCTTCATAGTGCAGTGTTTAACCACTTGTGCCACCAGGGAGGCCCAGAATAAGGAAATTTGAAAAATACTATAGTTAGGAAAAGAGTTATGAAAATGATTTTATTAGGTATAAACTTGTTCATTTAGTAAGACATAGTTATTGTGTCAATCTTTAAATATTTTGAATATCAAATGACTGCTTAAAAAATGATTTAAATGATGATTTTTCTCATCACTAGCCTTAGATTATGTATATTTTTTCCTATGTTTATCATTTGGAAAGAAAATAATTTTTCAATTTTTATGTTTAAGAAATTTTTTAAACTAATTTTTAAAAAAATTATTTTTGCATAAAGGAACTGGAGTATAAGCTAAAGGTGTGGGTGGTGAGAGGATTCACGAGAGACAGAATGGGGAACAGAGCAGGCAGATTTCTGAAATACACTGCTAAGGGGAGCCGTGGGCGAGACAAGAAAGACCTGCTGTGCCATATGTGGGTTAGCTACCTGGCAGGGGATTGCCGTAGTGGTGACAGTGCTGAGACAGCCCCTAGGCCACCAGGAAGGCCTCTGTTTCGGAGATTCTTAAGCAGTAAATTAGTGGTGATATTCACTAATATTAGAATATTGGGTAATATTCTTTGATTATTTCTAATATAGAAAACATTTTGCCATTAAATACTTTATTGAGACATGAAGATTTTAAAAATTATATAAATTCTAATGTTTTTAATATAGAATTAAACTCCATAGAGAAATGACTGTCTGATCTAAAGTAAAGTTTTATATTCATCTCTTTCCTTTTTTTTATATTTAAAAAGCAGGTTTATTAGGAAAAGGGTCAGAAAAGTAAAGTACACTTGCATAGACACAAGCAGGCAGGAAGAGCTGCCCCAGAAGGGACAGGTTTGCTAAGAGAGGCCTGTATGGTTGCAGGCGGGCAGCCTTGACAGGTCACGGGCAGGCAGGAAGCTGCTGCCCTGCAGAAGGAGTGAGTTGGTGAAAAGAGGCACCTGCTAGTCACAGGTGGGCAGACAGAGTGCTGCTGCCATATTCATCTCTTTCATTTGAATCATTGCTTATCTTTGTTATTTAATTACAGGACTATTCCCTGATGTGGGTGGAGGTTATTTCTTGCCACGGCTTCAAGGAAAACTTGGTTACTTCCTTGCATTAACAGGATTCAGGCTGAAAGGAAGAGATGTGTATAGAGCAGGAATTGCTACACACTTTGTTGATTCTGAAAAGGTAATACTTGGATGATTGAGTTTTGCAATATTGCACAAAGTTGTCCAATATTGCACAAAAAGCTGTGTGAGAGGTGCTGAAGTTCTGTGGCCCTCAGTTTCTTCATATGGAAAATTATATCTGGATTTAAGGCTCTTTTGCTTAGCATCTCCAGTGAATTTTTTAAATGAATAGCCTATAAAAAATAAAAGTAATACTGTGAACATCTAATATATAAAAATCTAAATTTATATGTAAAAACAGATGTAAGGGTATTTTTTGAAAAGTTTTCTTGAAGTTTTCCTTATGCATTAAAATGCAATAATTGTTAAAATATGGGCTTAAAACTTTTCTACAGAATATCATTGCAAGGGACACATTTTGTTTTTTTTCCCCTCCTTCTTAGGACAAACCTGCAAGTGGCAAAAAATTAGTAAACAGATTGCCTGGGTTTAAGTCTTAGTTTAAATTGAGCCTCTTTGGCACCCAGTTACCCCATCACCAAATGGTGATGGCAGTTTCACTGTGATAGTTGAAACTCATGTTAAATAATACAGAAAGCCCAATTAAAAGTAGTTTTGCTTTAGAATTTCCAGCAAGAGATCTGGAGTTTACTTGGCTTATGTCACCCATGAACCACATGGGTGGGTGGACCCACTGGCCCATCCAACCCTCTGTCCTTCATCTGTGGAGCTGTAGGGTCAAGTCAGCTTCTCAGGAAACATATGAATTTACAAATGAATATCTGATCTTGAGAGAGAAGTATTTTGGGATAGAAGGAATATTATAAAAATGTATGAAGTATATAAAGTTGAAGATTGACACCGTATATTGTTTTGAGGGCCTTCTATTATATTTGCTTGAAGTTTCAGATTTTCTTCCATGTTGTAGGCATCTTCAGTTACATTAAGTAGGGGGGCTGTCTGATTCTTCCCTTGAGCTGTATCAGGAAGCAAACATGGACACTCCATTATCTGCCCTGGAGGGGCACCTTTGATTATAGTGGAGTTTGGTTAAGGATGGGAGAGAGAGCTAGTCACAGTCTTCTCCCCTCTTGGACAACTTGTCCAGTTATAGTATCTGCTATGTGTGGACAGCCATTCATAGGGCTATAGAGGATAACAGATAGAGTAATACACATTAGGAATGACACTAGAGGTGGGAACAAAAGATAAATAACCCTTTTCATCTGACAAGAAAAGTATATATGTAAAAACAGATTGCAAAAAAAGTACCCAATGGATTGAGCATGTTTATAAGAAAGAACTGGAAGTTTTCTCAGAGATTGCAGTTCAGCTGGGCCTAAATATGAAGGTATTTTAGAGAGAGGAAATACTTACCATGTAAGCCAGGGACAAGAAGACATTAGCAATGTTTTGAACAGTAAAAAGTTCCATTTGGATGAGCATAGAGATAGATACATGAAGGATATAGATGGAGAGTTAAGTGTTCCTATGTTACAGAACTGTGCAGTAGCTGTAGTAGCCATTAGTCACATGGCAATTTTAATTAAAATGCAATTTATACTTCAGATCTTTGGTTGCAATACATCATTTCAAGTGCTCAGTAACCAGAAACAAAGGAGACAATCTCTATTTCTTTATCATTATCCATCCCTGGAGTTTACTTGGCTTATGTCACTTGGCTTATGTTACTTGGTTTATTTGCTGTGTGGGAATATGTGTACATTAAAGTTCAGTGAAAATTTCCTTCACTGACTTAGTTGGAGGGAAAGCATAATAATTTTAAGGCAATGCTTTTAAAAAAGAACTTAAGATTCCTAAAAAAAATGTTTCCACATTTCTATGAGGATTCAAATTTGTTTTCCTTTTTTGTTTTCTTTAGTTGGGCATGTTAGAGGAAGATTTGTTAGCCCTGAAATCTCCTTCAAAGGAAACTATTGCAGATGTCTTAGAAAGTTACCACACAAAGGTATTGTTTTCAATATTCTAAATTCTTATTTTAATTCATAGAGAAAGGGAAGTGATTGTAAAAATAGCAGTTGAAGAATATTATATTGTGTAGATGTAAATAAATTTACAGGGACTTATTTCTTTAAGGTTTGATGAGCATATCAGTACTTCATAGATGTTACATTAGCCATCTAAGCAGATGAGTTCTTTATTGTGCAACTGCACCGTTCGTGTTCTTACTGCTGGTGAATTTCAGGGCATATCCTTGTGATTGATTCTTTCAAGGGATTTTTATAACACTGACATTTCTATAATGGAAGTTTATTGTTGTGGCTATTTGTAGAGCTGTTAAAGTAAAACTGGTATATATCAAAATATAATAATAAAGTACATTGTATTTACTTTTAACTCCTTATTTATGTTGTCTAACTTAAAAAAATTTTTTTGCGAGAGCCAAGAATCTAAAAAAGATCCATGACTTACAACAGGATGGATTGAATACATGGTACCTCCTAAGTCCTCACTAAAATTAGAGTAAAGGAATAAAAAAGACATTCCACAAAGACAGATAGAACAAGAAAGGAGACAATGGCAGGTAGGAGATTTCAGTATTTTGTAAACTTGAAAGCAGAAGGACCAAAGTGACTAAAAGCATTGAAATCTTATCCTGTAATAAGGAGCAAGCCAGGAGCCCACTTGGAAGGTACTGGGTCCTTCGGATGACTGGACTGTGGAGTAGGGCAGAAAAACAGGAAGTACTCTGCTAATTTTCATAAGAATTCTTCCAAAAGTTCTTTATGAGCATTATATTTAAGAGCCCTCTAAGAGCCTGGCATACGAGTGGAGACTTCTTAGAAGGCCTAGTGAGTGAGAACAATAAATGAGGTCTCCACTGAAAAGAGTAAAACACGCTAAATGGGAAGGCCTGCAGCTCCTTTCCCTAGTTGGCTTCCAGGACTGTTGCATTTCATCTGTTTTTGTCAGTTTGTGCAGCTATCGAGAAATACCATAGACTCGGTGGCTTAAACATCAGAAATTTATTTTTCACAGTTCTGGAGGCTGGAAAATTGAGGATGAAGAGCCCAGTTGATTTAGTTCTGGATGAGGGTTGGGATGGGAAGCAGAGAAAGAGGGGAGAGAGATTTCTACTTATAAGGTACTAATCCCATCATGATACAACTTCCCCAAACTAATTCAAAGTTAGTACCATTAGTGAAAAGTATTGTATCCAAAATAAACAAGGGTGCGTGCAGCCCTGTTGTATTTTGGTATGATTCAGTCACACCTGCAGCTGAGATATGTGTTCCACATTTTAAGAATGACCTAGACAAACTGGAATTTGTGCATAAGACCTGGATTGTGAATAGACACAAACTGCACTAGAACAGATAATATTTAGTGCCAGAGGAATTAACTGGAACTATAAACATGAGAAGAATGATCTAGAATTCTTTTTTTTTAAATCCTAATTATTGTTGAAGCACTTGTGAGTTACTGTTCCCTGTACTTACTGTTCAGAGCTGAGGGGATAACAGGAATGTTTCCATCAGGTGGAAATCAGAGCAGAAATACTTCTTATGAGCCATACAATCCTTAAATGACTTGATAATGTTTTAACAATAACGTAGGATATGTAATGATATATAAAAAATTTTTGTCTTTGACACATTACAAGTTACTTTGGAATAATATGTTGGCATTTTGAACATATAATGTTAGTTATTTATGAGACTGTTGGATATAGTTTGATAGGGCTAATCTGGCACAAAGTGTATCATTAATTACAATGAAATTTGTAAGGATTTAAAAAATATTTTTTACTTTGCATTATTTGAAATCTTTTCAAACAGTCGAAGATTGATCAAGATAAGCCTTTTGTACTTGAAGAACACATGGACAAAATAAACAGGTACTGAAAGAGAGATCTCAATTCTGTTCCTTTGGAAAGATATTAAATTGAATGTGCCTATGTTGAAATTTCATTGTGTTTGATAATATCAGATAGTATAGTGCTTTTATTTTCACTTTGAAAATAACTTTTTGCATATTCTTGGAGATGAATCCATTATATTTAAGTAATCTATCATGCTGATTCATTATAGTGCAAAACATCCTTTTTTAATGAGGAAAAGATTAGAAAATTACAAATGAATTCTTTTGTCTTTGTAAAGTCCTCTGGATGTTTTATCAAGCTGGTCAGCAGAAGTGTACAGTAATTTGATAGACTGACACAGTAGCTTAAAGAAACAAGAGAAGGAAAATTATTGGAAAACGAGACAACTATTTCTGCATTTTAGAAGCATCAGTTTTTCACGATTAGCATTTACTTATATATATTAAATGCAAGAAAGCAAAAGAGATAACTTAGACTTGCATTACAGGTAAACTGCATATACTCATCCAGAGAAGCAATGTGCTATTTCATCATTCTGTAAAATAGGTTGGAAAGATTTTCATTATTCAAATTGGGTTTGGGGAAGCCTATGTTTAGGTTCATTACTACCTTGGAAAGAAGAAATCATTTGTACATTGGTGAAATTATGTGTTTCCTTTTTTATAGTTGGTTTTCAGCCAATACTGTGGAAAAAATTATTGAAAATTTACAGCAAGATGGTTCATCTTTTGCCTTAGAACAATTGAAGGTAATATATGGATCATTTCTGCCCCAAGCAAGGTGAATTCTTGTGATGGGGAAGCCCCTTGGAGAAGTGCCGGTGCTTCTTGATGGTGACATAGCCCACTGCACTGTTTGTTTGTTTCTTCTCCTCTACTCATTTGAGCCCAACATAGCAGTTCCACAAAACCTTTACTTAAACCCAGGAGCCCTATCTACTGGATGTTGATGGCAAAGTTGCTGAGCTGTTTTTAGCCCTTTGAGTGTAACAGGAGGCCAGCATGCTTCATCTCCAGTTCTCCCTGTCCTGCGGGAGGAGAGTTTAGGGCCATTTTCATTGGAAGGGTTGGTTCACAAGAGACTATATACCTTCTGCTATATCACAGTTGTGACATTAATCTAGAAGTTCTAATCATACAACAGATGAATATATGGTCTTTCTAAGCAGTAGGATTAAGGTAAATATGATCCTTTTAAAACTAACAAGAGGCGTCATCTGTAGCCATAGCTGAGTTTTAAGCTGAGTTTCTTCTAAGTGTGAGGTGTATGTTTTGATCTTTCTACAGTGTGACTCAACTGGTAATAGCAGAAGAAAAGCCATTTTTATAAAAATGAGAGCACATTGGGTACTGAAATTCTTGGAACTATCATATAATTATGAATCTGGAGTATGTGAGACTTTTAGACAAAGGAAAGAAAAAAGTGTTTCCTTATACTTAAAAGTTGTTTTAGCTTGTCTTTATCTGGTAGTATTTTTCAATTTATAGATATATAATTATGGCAGTTTGGTTTTCAGAAAACTTAATGATAAATTTTGAATGGACTCTTAACCTATGAAGATGAAAAAATTACCCCACTGTTAACTGTACTCTTAAGGGAGAAATCTTAATCTGTTAGATCTTATTCAGGATTGGGATGTTATTAACTTTCAAGAATAGGAATAAATTAGATAGGTAGATCAGTAAACTTGTCTAACTCACAAAAGGAAATTAATGTTATTAACAACTTTTGGGAATGTCTGCATAAATGTAGGTGATTATTTTATGTTTAAAGGATTCTGACTAAGTTCTATGGTCTCCGGAGCAACACAGAAACTAGTATTCCTGTTATTTTTTCCCCAATAATAGGCCCAATAAGTGTGCACTTAGCAATTTCATTTGAAAATGGTCATGCAGCACAGTAACAGTAAGGAGGACATGAAAAAGTGCTCAAGATCTTTATCAGAAAAATTAAAATTAAAATCATAATCAGGCTGACAATGTGCATCCATTAGATGACTAAAATTAAGAAGGTTGATAATATCAACATCAAGTGTTGGTATGGATGTGGAGCACCTAGAACTCAACCTTGTTAACAAGAAAGCAACTTTACAGATTTTTATATATTCACATGTACACTTACTATAAGATCCAACAATTCTACTCCTTAGGGATTTACTCAAGAAAAATTACAACCATATGTCTACAGAGATGTTCGTATTCAATTGTTATAGTAACTTTAAAAAATAAACAGCCAAATCCTGAAAACAGCCCAATCCCTATTAACTACTAAATGAGTAAACAGATTGTGACATAATTCGTACACTGCTACTCAGCTATGAGAAGAGATAAGGTACTGGTTATATGAAACAACATGAATGACTGTCAGAAGCATTATGCCAAGCTAAAGAAGACAGACACAAAGGACCAACTGTTGTAGATTTTATTTTTATGAGAATCTAGAAAACAAAACTATGGGACAGAAAACAGAGCAGTTGTGGGGGGCGGGGTGGAGCTGAATGAAGGAAAACTCTTTAAGGTGATGGAAGTGTACTATGTCTTGGTTGTGGGAGTACTTAGACAACTGTATACATTTATCAAAACTTCTAGAATGTGCACTTAAAAGCTAAAAAAAAAGCTAAAAAAATTTATAGGTAAGTTATACCTCATTAAAGCTAATCTTTAAAAAAAAAATGACATACCAAATTATATTCAAAAACTGTTTGACCTATAAAAGTGTACATTTGCTGAAGGTACCCATTGCTCCATGCTGTTTATTTCTGTTAATGAAAGTAAGTTCATGGCAGTCTTGATGAATACATTGTGCTTTCGGAAAAGAGTACAATGAGCCTTAATAGGGAAATGCATTTATTTTGTAGATGGAAAGAGAAAACAGTTTTCTAGCTCTCTTATGGACCTTAGTGACCCTTGAAATGCGGTCATGAGCTTTAAAGATAAGAAATAATAGTACTTGCATCTTTAGATACTATCTCTTCATTTTATTTAAATTGTAATGCTTTTAAGTAATTAGCAGGAAAGTCTTAAGATTGCAAAAAGCACTCATCTTGGATGGCTCGAGTCTTTTACCGTAGGTAAGAAAAAGAAATACTGGTGCTCATTTCTTTAAATAAAGTGCTGTTTGGTCTTTATATATTAAATATATCCTTTTTTTAAAAAACTAGTTTTTAAAAAAATCAAACTATTCACAAGATATATCAGTGGCTTATGCTGCTTGTTTAAAAATAATAGATATGACTTACAGTGAACTAAAGTCTGCCTTCTACTTAATTTCAACCCCAAGAACGAATGCAAAGAGATACTTCCCATTTGAGCCTTAACAGCGCACAGCTTCGGATCTTTACTGTCAATGTACTAAAATACCATAAAGATATTCCCCTCTGTTTGCTTGGACATCCCATCATGCGTCCTTTCCCCTCTTGTCTCCTCTGTCTTTTTGTTTTATGGAGTGTCTTCTTGTAGACCGTAAACTCCTGAGAAACTTTAGTTTTTTCATGGTAGGTACGATGAATGAATGAAGGTAAGTGGCTGTACTGGCCCCTAAGGTACAAAAATGAAGATCCAGCACCTGGCAAGGAGTTCACAACCTAGTGGAAGAGACATATAAATAAGCAATTATAATGCAAAATTACAAATGCTGCTAAAATAGAGGGTTGCACAAATTACTGTGGGTGTCCAGAGAATTACAGAGTCTGAAAGACTTCACAGAGGAGACATCTGAGCAGAGGGGAATGACTTGTTAATAGCGGCACAGATGCAAGACTTTGAGACAAGAACTGCTGCAAGTTGGTTTTTTAATGGAAGGATGAGAACTCATCTCACAGCATGTATATTTGAAATATGCTGTAGCGTTTCTTTGGACAAGAATAAAATTACTCCCAATTTATATTTACCTTATACCTTTATGTATTCCTTTGAGTGAGGCAAAGAACCAACCAATTTGTTTCCATTTATTAGCTCCTTACATCCTCATATCCTGTTCATTTTCTCTACCCACTAAGTATCAACTCTATTTTTAATGTATTTTTTTAAAGTAATCTTTTCTGAATATATATGAACTTCTGTTCCAGTGCCTTCTTTTGGGGTTAAATCTGGCAGAGCTTTCTAGACTTTCAGAGAATGTTATAAATGGCATCTTTTATAAAGAAAAAAACCACAAATGTTCCTTTTCTAAGACCCACTTACTGAACCAGATAAAAAGTTGGAAACTGATCTGCCTGTACAGCCCTTCAGTCAACCCCAAGCCCTGCTTGGTAGAATTCTTCTAATTGCATCAATAGGTTTGTTGGATATTATTTTAATTATACCAGGCTTGTTGAATATTGTCTCCCTCTTGATAGTGCGCGTCACGCTGTGTTACTGAGCTTTCTGTGGACTCCTGCAGGAAGGGGCGGAGGCAGTGTCCTGAGTTTCCTTTTGTTGGAAACTTCTCATGATGAATAAAGCTCCTTAAAAAAAGGATTCCTAGGTTGGTTATAGTGTTGAGAATGTTCTTTGAGTGCAAGAACCATGTTCTGTTTGTTATTGTTTCCCTTCAGGAGTTTAATGTATAATAGATGTTCAATAATAATTGTTGAATTAAGAATGTTATTCACTTGATAAAAGTAAAGAGCAAACAATGTTGACTCATATACATACAGGAGGCTCCTCTTTAAAGGGTCAAATTGGTTAGGACACTGTTGTTCTGCCAGGAAATAGAAATGGTGCGTAGGTACAGGATTATGTCAGCACACATTCCTGGCATGGCTAGAGATCCAAATTCTACTCACTTATCAAATTTTCAAGAACAGTCTACATTCTCACGCTTGAATGAAGGAAGCCATATTAGCTGTTTATCTGAACTCCCTTAGCACTTTTCCCTCATCCCTTCTTTGATTCCTCTAACATGTGTCTCACTTCCTTGCCAGGGGAACATCCCCATCTGTGCTCTCATTCCATCTTCTCCGCTTCCTCTAGGAAGTGACTGAATCAGTTCTTTCCTCCTGTCAGTAGCTTCATCTTTACCTTCTTGAGTGAGTGGCACATTTTCTTCTGTCATTACTTTTAAATACTTTCCCATCCTTGCCAAAAAAAAAAGAAAAAAAAAAAAAAAAAGCAAATGGTCCCTTTACACTGTTTTTCCTCAAGCTGCCATCCCAATTTTGTCTTACCCCTTGTCATCAAAATTACACAAACAAGTTTTTATTGACTTGCTTTAGCACCTGACGTAATGTCTTCCTCTTCGTCTTTATTCTTTTTGACTTCAGCTTTGAGATGAGAACTGTTGTTATGGCCTTGAATAGTGCAAAGAGGTAGCTTTAGAGTCAGCAGGCTTGCGTTCCTATGGACCATGGATGGACAAATTCATCTCAGAGTCAGGTTTCCATTTGTAAAACGCCTGTGTGTGGAAATGCCTGCCTTATAGAGCTAAATACAAATGCTCCATAAATCCCCCTCTTCCTCCCATTTTGCTTAGTTTCTGACACACTGCACTGGCTTACTGCTATGCCATTTAAGATGTGGACAGTATTATCTCCATTTTACAAGTGAGGAGACCAAGGTCAGTCATGTAGGAGTTGGGTGGTGGAGCTAGGCTCCTATACCCGAGCCATCTGTCTCTAGAGTCTAAACCCTTAGCCTCTTTGCTGAATTGTCAGCTAGTATATACTAAGAGTTGTTGGAAACTAGTTTCCTTGGGTTTTCGGTTTATTATAATTGATGTATGTTTTATGAAAAATCTTTAAATATTTCTTTTTTTTTTTAAGATTTATTTATTTATACAAGCACTGGGTCCAGTCAGAAGTGCGAGAGGGTGAGAGAATTCACCAGAGCCAGAGCGGGGAGCAGAGCAGGCAGAAAGGCCGAAGTACACTGCTGAGGGGAGCAGCGGGCGGCAGGAGAGGTCTGCGCGCCATGTGGGACTCTCGCCGGTGGCCGGGGATCGAACCGGTGCTGCAGAGGCTGCGGGCAGCTTCGCAGCCCAGCGCTCAAGCGCTGTGCCACCAGGGGAGGCCCTAAATATTTCTTAATGTATGAACCCATGAGACTTCTTTAAATGAAGTTTTTTTCCCATTTTATTGTGGTGTATATGTGGCATAAGCACAGACAACTGGGGCCGGGGGAATGTTCCTGAAATTAATTAGTAGCCAACTGAGGAAGTGCAGCAGGCGACAGATTTTGTGTTTGACTTCATGATGGCACATAAATTGCCAGACCAAGACATAAGGACACAGGCAGCTAAACATAATAGTGGTGCTGGTGAGTGGTGGTGAGCTCGCTCAGGGTGGTACTTGTGGGAAGGGGATTGTGGCTTCATCAACTTCGCAGACTAAACTAGTGAGAGAGTGGCCATGTCACTTGTGTAAGTACACATTTTAGCAATTAGTGATTTATAAGATGTGATTGTATATTTTAAGTACAATCACTGTTTGCTTACCTAGTTAGGATCATGATTTTTGCCAGGAAAACTAGATTGTAAATTTATTACTTGAGTTATAGGTATGGAATCAACTATTTGATTCAAAATAGTGATCACTGTTTTGTTGTAATGGATTAGAAAATTTGTTTAGTGCTTTGGCAGGATTAGGCATAATATTTTATAAGACTTTGTCATATAAAAAGTGCTGTTAAGGAACATTTTAATATGATTTATATAAAAACTCAGTTTATTGTAGACAATAAAGGAACTGCTTGTCTAAAAGTAGTAAAATACTTTTTCTCCAATAGGTCATTAAAAAAATGTCTCCAACATCCCTGAAGATCACATTAAGGCAACTCATGGAGGGGTCTTCAAAGACCTTGAAAGAAGTATTAACCATGGAGTATCGACTGAGTCAATATTGTATGGTAAGAATTTTTTAAAAATTCATTTTCTAGTTATGAAAGCAACATGCTTATTGTAAATCTTGTAAAATACAGAAAACTGTAAACAAAATTAAAACAACTTGTAAATCTATTCTGTAAAAATACAGTAGGCCAGTTAGCTTCAGGTGTGAGGGAAGTGTTGCTCTCAGATGTTGTCTTTATAAAACAGTAATTATATTTGCATGACAGTATAAGAAGGCATCTGTACTCAGGTGGCATTCAAAATAGAACTTAACTTTTTCCAGGCATGGTCTTTGTGAACTTGGGCAAGAACATCAGCTCTCTAGATCTCATTTTACTAAGATGAGGAATATTGCTTATAAGCAACTCTGTGTGTGTGTGTGTATACATATACATACATATATGCATACATACATGTGTATGTATATGTGTGTATGTGTGTGTGTATATATATACACAAATGGACGCTATTAGTCTGTTACATGTTTCAGTAGATCAGCATTGAACTACCATTTGTAACAACTTATTAAGTATTAATTTCACAAAACATTTCAGAATCATAGTTATTTCTTCTTCCATATGATAAACTCTTTAAAGAATCTTTTCTGTTATGCAGAGCACCCTTAGGTTAATAAATTTATGGCCCAAAAGAAAATTTAAGAATTAGAGGCAAGACATAGGCTTTCATACCTTGAAATGTTTATAAAGATAATGTTGTAGTTAATCTAACCACAGATAAAGCTCTATCAGTCATGACTTACAGTCACTTTCTGATAGGATGTAAGGGCAGTTGAGGTCTGTTGTTTATTATGAGCAAGTTATGCGAGGCCCTTGATGTGGATTCTCTCCATTAAATCTCACACTGTCGCTAAAAGGATAAGTACTGTTATTGTCTCAATTTACAGTTGAGGAAGCTGGCATAGAAGGTGACCTGCCAAGGCTATGCAGCTCTTCAGTGGCAGACACATGGCCTGTGGGGCCAGGTGGTCTCTCACCATGGCCTGCACACCTGGCTGTTATCCCGGGCAGCTCACAGTCTGTGTTTCCACTGTATACTTAATGTACTTTCTGGATCGACTGACTTCCTCCTCTCTCAGCCAGTAAATTAGCTATGTGCCAGGCACAATGCCACCAGGGTTCTCTTGTTGAATAAGGATAGACAGTCCTTGTTTTCATGGAATTTAGTCTACTGAGAGTATATGAAGAACAGGTTAAAAAAAATAATTAGCAGTTGTGCTAAGTGCTTTAAAGGAGACATACAGGGTGATGGTAGAAGAGAATGATGCTGAGACAGCAGGGAACCCTGCTTTATATAAGTAGGTCAGTGAAGACAGCTTTGAGATGGTGGCTCATCTGTCACCTGAAAGGTAAGAGTATGTTGAGAAGTTTCTTGGGTGCTTTGTTGGTTTGTTTTAAGAAAGTGATTTGCCACTGTTGAATGAAAATGGGGTTAGAGGAGTTTAAGGATACATGTAGAGAGCAGATGTGCATTTATTGCAGTAATGCAGTTGCAAAATAGTAGTCACTTAGATTTAGGTGGTGGCAATGGAAAGAAGTAAATGGATTTGAAACAAATGTAGGAGATAGAATTACAGGCTTTGGTGATGAATGTGAGGAGGAGGAGAATGCATTTAGGCATTGGAGCTTAGAAGTGTGGGTTAGAGATTTACATCTGAAAGATTTTAGCGCCAATTTTAAAAAAACTTGGGAGTTTTTTAAAAGAATGCTTACATGTTCAAGGTACTATTAGAGGCACCAAGAATATGTACATAAAAAGACAAAATTCTTGCCCTCATGGGGCTTATATTATAATGGGGGAGATACCATATAAACAAATACGTGAAATATATATAGCAAATGCACTTAGAAGAAAAAGTAATGTGGGAAGTAAATGGTTTGTGAAGAAGTGGAGAGAGTTCATGAGATAACTCTTATCTTCTTGAAGAAGGGTAGGACCTGTGGAATCCAGCAAGGTTCCTTTTTTTTTTAAGATGGAAGTTAATAGAACGTGTTTATGAATGATTGGGAATGATCCAATTGATAAAAAGTTTATGTTGATGATACTAATAATAGTTAACAAATACAGACACTACCTGTCAGACTCTGTGCTGGGATGTAGAGTTAATTGTATGATCAATGTATTGATGTTTAATATAAGGAAACGGAATTGGAGAATTACTAGCAGAAGGTCACAGTAGTCAGTACACAGTAAAAACAGGTCAACTCAGGCATTTGAACTTCATGCTGTCAGCTAGTAAGTTATCCTGCCTGCACTGATGATGCTAGAAAAAGAAGTGGGTAACCTTCTCATGCGCAAGTCCTTGACAAGGCAAGAGGGAATGGGAATGGAAATATGCTGGAACACTGGCCTTTGAAAGGGACAGTCAGGAAAGGGACAGGCGCAGATGGCTGTAGTTGGGCTGCAGGCATTTCATAGTGGGAAGAATAGAATGTCTGAGTCTTAGGACTGTTCTTTTTATTTTAGAAGGTAAAGTCATTAGCTGAGAATATAGTGAGAGGAGAGATTGCTTGGGGTAAAGGTTGAGGGGACAGAAGACATTTTAAGTCATTTTCTTGGGGCATATGGGGAAGAGAACATGGATTTTTGGGTAGTTTCCTTTGCCTGTTTGAGACTTGTCATCATTCCAGATGAAACCTGTCATAGTTGTATGATTTTTATGCAGGAAGATCTAGCTACTCTGTTGTAGGCAGAGGTAAATGGTAGTGTTCAGCTGGTGCTGGGATTTTTTTTTTTTTTTTGCAAAGACTAAATAAAGGGGAAGAAAAGCTTGAGGAGGTGAGGGTATTTTCAAGAAAAAGTCACCACCAAGAAAGCAGAGCAGATTAAGAGTGAAGTGTAGCCAGCACAGAAGGTGAGGAGGTGGTAGGATCAGTAGAGCTCAGTGAGGAGGTCAGGGATTGCAGCTGTGAAGATCCTCAAGTAAATAAGGGCGGTGATCACATGCATTGCCAGAGGTGGTCCAGTCTCTGGGTGTCATGCTTTAGGTTGTGGCCATAGAGTAGGAGGCTGAAGAGGGTGGAGGAGAGGGGAGACGACCAGGAAAAAGAATGTCCAGAAATTCCCTATTTAATCTTGATTTTCTTACAGGGAGGCCATGACTTTCACGAAGGTGTTAGGGCAGGTAAGTGACAAATAATTGTGTTCTTTTGAAAAAGTTGAGCTGCCTACATGGCATCAACTTATTGTTGGTTTAAAAAAAAAATTGTATTCAGTTGAAATAAAATGGCACATAAATTTGACTACTACTCTTTCCTTTCACCTTCAGTGGGCTATCTAGTTGGTCACGGGAGCTTATTAAACAAAGGGAAGAGATTCTTGTAGAAAATGTTCAGGGTTATTTTTGTTTATATTGTGCAGGGCATGCAAAACTTTCTAACTGGCAGGGATCCTAACATCAGTGTTCAGTATCACCACTGGCCTGATATTGGAATCCAGCAGATAGGCAGCTAAACCTTAAAAAAACCTAGATCCACATTTAATTTTGCAGAAAACCTCCTTATTTTTTACTTCCTGAGGAGGTAGCTTACTTTCTTGGTTCAGACTGCTTCTTTAATTGTTTAGACTTTAAATGCAAAATTTGATTTGTATAAGTTCACCATAGAGTTTGTACGTTTAAGTGTTTTTAGTCACAAGAATTATGCACATTTTATGCATGATTGAAATTCCTTACCACAACCATATGAAGTGTAGCTCCCTCCCCTCTTGAAAAACTTTTTGAGAGAATTACAGATTCATATGCTGTTTTAAGAAATCCTGCACACCCTGCACCTAGTCTCCCTATCACAACCAGAAAATGGAGACCTCCCTACCCCCTTTAAAGAAGTTACAGATTGCCTCATTCTTATCCTGTGGGGATCCTGTGTGACTCCTAAGTGATGACTATACTGAAATAAGAGTAGGTTCATGATAACCTGAAGGTGGTCTGGTACTTTAATATGGACCTGTGTGAACTAGAGGATTCAGCAAAACACCAGTATCCTCGCTCAATTATATGTGAAGTCCCCTTCCCCCGAACTTTAAGTAATTTCCTCCTCAAAACTTAATATGAAGGTCAGAAGGCAGATCTGGGCCCTGCACCTCCCTCTTCCCTTTAACCCACGGCTGCTCTGTTAGCTGTTTTATAACATGGAGTTTCCTTTACAATTTTGTTTGAATAAGGAAAAAAAAAGAATTCTAATGCTTGGACCAACTGCAACATTTCCGGTAGGCTTTATTCAAGGTAGGCACGTCAGGCTTAGATTTGGAAATAATGAAACCGATGATCATTGTCTCCTAGAGGGTACAGTACCGCCCATACCCATCCAAATTCTGGGGGGACTCAATTTAGAAGAAAAGTGGAGTGCCTACAAAAATATTAACTTTGTTGCCTTGTAATTTTTTCAATTTTTTTTTTTTTTTTACTTTGAGGGAAAAATGTGCTATAGAAAAAATATGTCTAGTACAAGGTAGTTCCTATCAATTCAGTCATTAAAATCTAGTAATACCAGAAAGAAATGTGCTAACATGTATGTTTTCTCTTGATAGTTTTAATAGATAAAGACCAGAGTCCAAAGTGGAAACCAAATGATCTAAAAGAAGTTACTGATGAAGAGTTGAATAATCACTTTAAATCTCTGGGAAGAAATGACTTGAAATTTTGAGGTGACTGAATAATTAAGGTATTATTTTGGAGCAGGAGTTAGCAAACTACAGCACACAGACCAGTTCTGAACCACTGCCTGCTTTTTATATATCCCACAAATTTAAGAATGCTTTCTACATCTTTTCAATGATTGTGAAAAGAATTCAAAGACTAATATTTCATGACATGAAAATTATATGAAGTTCAAATATCACTATCTATAAATAGTTTTATTGAAACATAACTGTACTTAACTGTTTACATATTATCTATGGCTGTTTTTAACTGAATAGCTGAAATGGAGACTGTCAGGTGTGCAAAACCCAAAGTATTTATTATTGGATCCTTTTCAGAAAAAGTTTGCCAACCCCTGTTTTAGAAGATGGGAAATACTGACGGTCTAAAAATTTTTAAGCTTGTGTATCTAATTGAAATGGGAACTTTGTTTTGGCTTTGGGTGGTGGTTTATGTTGATTAAATAAACTTATGTATAAATTACTTTAAGAAAAACCCTGACTTTTTTTATACTTGTAATGCTTCATAGAATTTTCTTCATATATAAATATATTTTAAAAGTATGAGTCATAAAGCAAAAATGTTCCTTTTAAAACATTTCACATTTCAGACAAAGAGAAAAGGTTTTTATGAGGTGTCTCTCCAGTATTAACTCAACCTTGGCCTTCCCTAATGTTAAACGAGAATTCCTCCCTTATGGCAAAAGTTAAAACATTATTTCTTATTTGCACTATTTGCTAACCTGGTGGAATGAGTAATTAGGATCTTGACGATGGGCAAAATAGCCTTCTTGTAAACTTTTATATAAAAACTGTTATTTGTCTTTACACAGTTCAAGTAAGGAAAGAGAAAATAAGAACTTTCGATCAAAATAGAAACCTTCAATAATTAATACAGTTGATTAAGTGTTTTTTAAGGTATGCAAGAAGCTTCAAAGTGTTCCAGACTTGAGACCTTGACGTCTAGGTAAGAAATATTTTAAAATTTTGTAACTCATTACAGTTTTTATTCACCTCCCCCTGGTTTCTCCCTAGCAACTAGGATTTCTTCTGGTTTATAAGAAAAACATCAGAAATGAGGCTTAAAAGATTACATTCTGTACCTTTCGCACAGATGAGGAAGCTGTAATCCAGAAGGAATTGCTTTACATTTCTCAGTTCTTAATATGTTTACCATGAAACAATTTTCTTCCAAAAAATTCAGGAACAGATATGGAATAAAGATGCCATGATAACATATTTACATTTGCAGCCTTAAAACTCTTAATTTGTACTTGACTAATTCAAAAATTGTATAAATGGATTTTTATTCACTTAGCATGTTAGAAATGCAGGAAATATTAACTCCTCTGTTCAAAATTAAAAGTACACATCACTGAAAAGCATTTGCTTACTCAATTAAATAAGAAGTCATAGCTAGTCAATTGTAACTAGACTTTTATTGTATAGTTAAAAAAAATTTTCACAAAAATATTTGGAAAAATACACCATCTCATAGCTGTCTTACAGAGAAACAATTTACTAACAAAACTTGAGTTTCGCAAACAAAGATATGTAGGGACCACATCTGTACCTGTGTCCACAGCTCCACCAAAGACACGTCCTATTTGACTGGACAAGTACAGGATGAGGGCCTTACGATTAAGCAAACAATATATATGTTTTAAATTGCTGTTCCTTGACATTATAAATTATCTCTAACTTTTGATTTCTAAAACTGTATAGTACAAAAGTGTATTTCACTCTGTCTCATAAAATGAACATACTTGAAGTGCCAATGGTAGTGAGCAAATGAGTTTCATGCTACTTCAGAGTGTTTTTAACACTAATAAGGCAATTTGACACAAATGGTTCCTTTGGGACTAAGAAAGAACATATTATCCCTTCAAAATTGTGCTTTAAGTGCTAATAACCATAGGTAGTTGGCAAAGAACTGATAAGGCAACTGAAACTGAAAGACATCTCAGATCGAAGGCCTGTAGCTGAAAGGTAAGGTCCACAGAGACACCGAAGTGGGGGCAGGCGCACTGAAGCACATCTGTGGGGTTATGTGAGTCTTTGTAAATGAGCGACTGGCACATTTCCTCTGATAATCTGCTTCCACAGTTGTCATCTGTGGGTTCTTTGTCAAGCTGCCCCTGTGCTGACTGGACGTTCGAGGGAAGATACAGTGGCTGAGTGCATTTAAGTGGTAAAGAATGGAACTTCTAGCTACAGTGTCCTTAAGTTGCAAACATTGAAAATTTGTTCTTGCAGTGTATCTTCTGATGGAGCTGGACATTAGTGCTGTTTTTTGGTTCTGCATCCCCAGTTTCCTTTCTAATTTGGCCACTATTCTCAATCTGTTTGTGATATAAATTAGAACCTTTCCAGTAGCTAACAATTCTTTGTCTTCGCTTTGTATGTCTCCTCCTTTCTTAAACAAGTCCTTCTACTCTTACGGTTTATGAAAGACCTTCATGATGAAGTAAATGCAATATTTAAACATGAAGGTATGAAAAGGGGAATTATCCTATAAAGATAATCTATTTTGTCATCAAGGCCAGACTACAGTTGTCCGTTGATATTCAGAGGACTTATTCCAGGAGCTCCCCTCCCAATACCAAAACTCACAGATGCTTAATTTTTTTTAAATGGCATAGTACTTGCATATAACCTATGCATACTTTAAATCATCTCTAAATTACTTATAACACTTAATACAGTATAAATGCTCTATAGTTGTTAGAATGTATTGTTTAGGGGATGACAAAGTGTGTACACATCAGTACATATGCGACCATCTACCATCATTGAGCTAACTACGTAATATGTCTTTTTCTTCCATAGTTGGTTGAATCCTGCATGTGGGACCTGTGGATACAGAAGCCTGACTAATATGTCTTGTATCACATGCAGTACAAATTTGTTTATCTTGCTCTGTCTCTTCCCTGCCCACCACTTGGTTATCCACTAACTCACTTTTAACCCTTTGCACTCCGCTGTCCCCTCTCAGGGGACATTGGTAGCCAATGTCCAGAATGGTTCGGAGTGCAAAGGGATAATTATGCAAGCCTTGTAGTTCCCTGCCCATGGTTTGACATAGAATCCAGTCAGTGTACATTTCCAAGCTAAGTCTTTGTATGTCATAAAATATTCTATAAAATGATCCAGGGGCCAGGGAGTATTGCTTGCTTGGTGACAGAATTGATGACAGAGATTAGACTTCTAGTTAGTGGTGGGTCTGGCAGGTATCCCTGTTACACCCCTGGGAATCAAAGTATAATTGTTAAAATCAGAGGTAGCATTTCTGCCTGTTTACAAAGCCAAATACATATTTATCTCATTAAAGAGATCACAGGTCTTTTCCTGCCTTTCTTTAGATCTTAAGCACAAGAGTTAGGTCTTAAAGGATGTAATACACATAGCATTAAATAATTCCCTTTCCAGTTAGACTCAATGTGTACAAAACTTGATGAAACAGTAACTGTAGACTCAGTCCCACTTTTTCTCTAAGTTATGTCTTCAGGGAATGTTCAGTCTTTTGTTACACAATGATAAATTCTTATATACAATCTGTCTCACTAGTCAATAGAGAAAAGGGGTGTGCCCGTAGATCACCCCTCTGCATCTGTGAGATGGTAAAGCTTATCACACATTCAGCCCTGAACCCAGTTCTGCTTTCTACCTTGCTGAGGACTTCTATTTTCTTGTACAGGTATATCACTGGGCTTAATATGATGCAATAAACATGTCATGGCTTATGTAAATTTTACTCTATTAAGGTGCCTTATATAACAAGTCTGAGTCATTCAGTAACAGCTGTGGTTGGTTGTAACCCTGAGATTCACGGTAGTAAGTTTTGCTTTTTTCTACAAAAATATCTTAGGGACAGGGTTTTCTATCTGGGTTGCACTAATGTTTGATCACTTGTGTTAAGCAGTAGGAATTCTTGATACAAATGGCTTTGACATACTAGACCAGTAACTATTAATCACTATGGCTTGAGTGTCATTCCTTTCACAAGGACTCAAGAAAAATACTCTTCACACTTTGTATGTAAATGGAAAGAGGTGTCTTTAAAAAATAACCATTTGGAAACTTGAGCACTTTATTTCTTTGGTGATCTGCTACTAACCTTAGGAAGAAAATGCTATGACATTCAGCTGGTTACTCTGGTGCCACAGGACCTATGCTTAACCCCTTCAATGACTAAAAATCCAAGATCAAGCAGGTAGAAATTTCTGTTAAAGACATTTCTTCTGGGTGCTCCTACACACTCTTGATGTTATCAGACACTTGTTTACATCCAGGTAGTTTCTTATATTTATTCATTCCAGTTTTTGCTCTTGCGTCATGTATTTAAACTAGCACCAACTATATCCACAGGTCAAGAGAGTGTCACTGCCCACCAGCATCAAGCCCCTCACTCTCAATGTATGGAATGTCATAGTACTTGATGTTATTGCTTGCCCACTGCTCTATGGCTTCACTCAAGATTTTCTGGGAGAGGCGGTGTGCGAATTCGAAGATCACAACGTTGGACCCTGAGGGTTCCTTCACCACTTCTTTGATATCATCTGCAGAAGCCATCCTAGGTAGAACTCTCTCTTCTGACACAAAGCTTTCTTTACTTGTATGTCGCTTATCATTCTCAAATGTGGTAGGAAATGGGAAAGTTTGTTTTGATTTCACGCAGCCCATCTTATGAAGAGCCTCGGGTGACTATTTCAACAGCATCTTTGGTAAGCGATACGTTTGTCCACTTTATATTTACCACTGTTTTCCCTCTTCAGAAAGCAGTGTTTGTTTTCACCACTTGTCACATGTCCTGTTTATCTGTCAAGAGAAAGGAAGTTTCATTTTGAAATTACAGAATGCAAAACCCTATGATTTGGTAGCATGTAGAAAGTCTCCTTTACCTTACAGAAAGATGATAATCTCTCAACAAAAATGGTAAGTTGCAGAATAGGAAAACATTTTTTCAAGCTCTTGAAGTGTTTATAAAACCCAAAGTGGGAAATTTTGCTAGGTTTGATTTACTTATGTACACTACTGCTGTTTTTGTAAATGAAGTCTACTAGAACACAGCCATGATCATTTGCTTATGAATCATCTATGGCTACTTTCATGCTACAGGGGCAGGGCTGAGTAGTGGTAACTGTAATGCTTAAAAGATTTACTGTTCGGCTCTTGACAGAAAATATTTGCTGACCTTTGATCTATACTGTTAAGGAAAATACACATATTAAAACTTGCTCCAGTCTCAGATTTCATCCGTGAGCCTGCACATTTTGGGCTGCTATTAGAATCAGACTTCATTGCCAGGTTGTATTTATACAGGACTACAAAGGCTGCCATTCTGTGCAACGCTGAGATGTGCCACTGCCAACTGTAAACCAAAGTCACCTATTTTCTATTCTGAATGGATTTTTATTTATTTATGCATACAAGAACTGGGGTACAGGCCAGAGGTGTGAGGGATGGGGTGGTGAGAGACCGAGTGAGGAGGAGAACAGGTGGATCTACTGAAATACACTGCTGAGGGGAGCAGCGGGTGAGACAGGAGAGGTCTGCTGTGCCATGTGGGTGAGCTCCCTGGCCAGGGATCAAACTCATGCCATAGTGGCTGGCGATAGCTTGATAATGCTAACCCTTTAACCCCTGTGGATTTAATTAAAATAGATTTAAGTGGAATTTCTTCTGAATTGATGGATTTAAAATTAGGGTTAAAAAGCTACCTTGCCTAAATATTTCATTCTTACTCTTACCTTGGATAGTTAGTGGACTGTAATGCTTGTGATATGTCTTCTGAGCTTCCCAAAGAGGTACTGTCACTGAGTGAACTTCCATTAAGACTTAAGGGTAACTTAAACAATACAACTCTTTAAGTTCAGGCAAAGCCTATGAATGAGGCTATACAGCGCCTACTTGTATTGAGCCCAAAGACAGCTCTAAAAATTCGCATTATTGTTTTTTTTAATAGTTTAAAGAAGTCCAAAAGAGGTGACTGTTGTCGGGGTATTACTGCTATGCATTTTTCTCTATACCTTATACCCACACCACGTTTCCCCACTAACAAGGAGGGTGGGAGAAGGAAATCCAGCTTTCTGTTTTTGATGAAGTTTTCTATGCCCTGTTACACACTGCAGAAATGTATTTCAAAAAAGGAAGAAGGGATGTGTGTGACGTTTGTCTTGTTTACTAAACAGAAAATGTTTTTTGGTTTTGCATCTCTAACACATAATGCTTTAACTGGTATCTATTGGTATATTTACCCTCCTCCCCAAACAAATTTAAACCTAGACCATATGCATGTGTTAAGTGTTGTACAAACCAACAGCACAAGACTGTGTGTAATCCCTGAAAGAAGAGAAACACAGGATGGTAAATTCTACAATTGATCATCCTGAGATTCTGCCTGGGGTGATCTTCAATCATTATCATGGTGAAGTTGATCACCAAGCAGAGTGGAAGTTCTGCTAAGGTAAGAGGCAGAGATTGGGTTACTGAAGCAGCTAGAATATATAAGCATTCAAGAGAAAGGGCAGCCATGGGAAGAGAGGTAGAAATTTGCATGGGATCTACCTGCACAAAATAGCAGGTGCTGTGGAATCCTGGGAGTTCCACACCAAAGTGGAGAGACCTCACTGTACACTTGAAACTTTAAAAGGTTAGGAATTTAAGAAATAGGAGTGCAGAAACAACCACAGATGAACAAATGGGCCTTAGCGAATAGTCAAACAGTACCATTCTAAGGAAAACATAGTAGCCAACCCGAACCCATACATATAAATGTTGAAAACTGTCAAACTAGTAAGACCCAGATATTATGGCAAAGGAGCTAAGAGTCTTTGCACATGTGTGGAACTACACATCCACATGTGAAAAACCTATAGACACAGACCATACACCCTTTATAAAAATTGGATCATAGCCTTAAGTATAAAATATGAAACTAAAACTTCTAGAAGATAACATCCACAAGTTAAATCTAGATCTTGGATTTGGCATTGATCTTTCAGATATATCAAAAGTTTGATTCTTGAAAGAACTGATAATTTAAATCAAGCCATAGACTTGTTTTTTTTGGCAGTCCTACAAATCAAGAAGGTGAAAAAATGTTTAACATAGTAGGAAATTGTAAATTAAAACACCAGTGAAAGTCCAAAACATTGACAATACCAAATGCTAGTGAGGATGTGAAGTAACAACTCATTGCTGGTAAGAATGCAAATGGTACAGTTTATAATAATAAATTGAACATACTCTTAACCATACAGTCTGGTAACTGCCCAAATCAAGTGAAAAATTATCTAACGACCTACTGCATTGATGTTTATAACAACTTTATTCATAATTGTCCAGACTTAGAAGCAACCAAGATGTCCTTTAGTAGGTGAATGGATAAATGGTGGCAAATCAGATTGTGGAATGCATACTGTTAAGGAAGCCAATCTTTCCAACAACAGGGCGCTCTGGAAAAGGTAAAACTATGGAGACAGTGAAAGGCCCAGTGGTTAGAGAATGGAGGGTTAAATAAATTGAGCACAAAGTTTTTAGTAGAATGAAGCTAGTCTTTGACATGTATTCAGTATTATGGTATTACATTGTACATTTGTCAAAATCCACAGAATATACAACACTAAGAGTGAACCCTAATGCAAACAATGTACTTTGGGTGATAATGATTATTCACTGATTGGTACAAATGTACCAATCTGGAATGAGATGTTGGTAATGGGTGAGGCTATGTAATGGGGAAAGGGAGTAGGAGGTAACTATTCTACAAGCACGATTTTGCTGTGAACCTAAAACTCGTCTAAAAGAATGTCCAGGGCCTCCCCTGGTGGCGCAGGCAGTTAAGCGCAGCGCTATGAAGCAGACCTCTCCTGTCTCGCCCACAGCTCCCCTCAGCAGTGTATTTCGTCAGTCTGCCTGTTCTGTTCCCCGCTCTGTCTCTGGTGAATCCTCTCACCCTCCCGTGCATCTGGCCTGTACCCCGGTTCTTGTATAAATAAATCTTAAAAAAAAAATTAAAAATGTCCAACTATATGCAAACAAAAGATATTGAAAAATCTGGCTGTATGCATATGAGACAAAGCAGACTTCCAGACCAGAAGTATTGCTGGAAATAAAGGGGGACATTTTATGTGTATGTGATTAATAATAGGTTCAAAATATATGAAGGAAAAACTGACAAAGGGAGAGAAAGATGATTATTCTCAGTAACTGGTAGAATATCCAAAGGAAACACAAGAATTCAAATTTTGAGTACTATGATTCACCTTAACTGACATTTATAAAGCATATATACTCAACTATAGAATTCATTCTTACCAAGTTCATATATGAAGCATTCACCAAGATGGACTCCATGATGGTCTAATAGATTTCAAAAGTGTATGTTTTCCAGTTACAAGTAAATGATTTTTTAAAAATCCAAAAAAGGAACCCCCTTTTCTGCAAGGGGTTAAGTCTCAGCACTATCCAACTATCAGTAGCCACTGCAGCACAAGTTTGACCCCTGGCCAGGGAGCTAACCCACTAGCAGCAGACCTCTCCTCTCTCACCCACTGCTCCTCTCAGCAGTGTATTTCAGTCAGTCTGCCTTTTCTCCTCCACTCTGTCTCTAGTGAATCCTCTCACACCCTCTACCCCACACCTCTGTCCTACATCCCATCTCTTGTATGCATAAATATTTTTTAAAAATCCAGAAAAGCACCCAAATGTATAGAAACTGAACATCACATTTTAAAATAACCCATGGGGCAAAGGAAAACATTAAAAGTTTTGAAATGCATTATTGACAGATAAATTTATAAATTAAAAAAAAATTTGAAGATTTATTTATGCATATAAGAGATGGGGTCTAGACCCAGAGGTGGGGTGTGAGAGAAGTCACCAAAGACAGTGGGGCACAGAACAAGCAGATCTACTGAAACATGCCGCTGAGGGAAGCAGCGGGCAAGAAAGCAGTCTGCTGTGCCATATGGGGTCAGCTCCCTGGCAGGGGATTGAACTCATGTAGCAGTGGCTGGGGATAGCTTGATAGAGCTGACACTGAACCCCCTGGGAGGCCCTATAAATTTGAATTCTTGTAACAGAAAAAGTTTTAACTCAGTGATCTGATTTAAAGAAGCTAGGAAGGGAAAAGTATATGAAATCCAAAATAAGTAGAAGGAATAAAAAGGCTAGAAATTAATAAACAAATGAAAGAGAAAATGAAATCAATATTGATTCTTTAAAGGGTTGCATTAAGAAAAAAGGCTACACATTATTATAGTATTATTACCCACATTCAATACCATTAGTCAACAATACGGAAATCCTAGTCAGAGTAACAAAGGAAATAAACTGGGAAAGAAGTAAAACTGTCATTATTTGGATATGACAATATACATAGAAAATCGTAAATATTCCACTATTAGAAGCAAATTGTCAGGCAACAAAATCCATATACAAAAATTTGTTTCTATATGGAAGCAACAAAGTAGAAAGCAATAGTTCTTTAAGATTTGAGTGTAAATGGGATTAAGTAGTCAGGAATACTTTTTTTCATTGTATAGGAGGTAAACACACTTTAACAGTGTTAAAATAGAAGGAAAAAAGGGGGACACCCCCCCCCCATTGGCATAGTGGGTTGAGCACAACACTGTGAAGCTGCCCGCAGCCTCTGCAGTGCGGGTTCAATTCCCAGCTGGCTAGGGAGATGCAGAAATGGGATCAAGCAGTTAGGAATACACTTCAATTTTCATTGTATAGGAGGCAAACACACTTTAACACCGTGTTAAAATAGAAGGGAAAAGGGGGACCCCCCCAGTGGCGCAGAGGGCTCG